GTCAAATCTTTGAACGCCATTACCCAGGTCGGGCTTACTGGCTGAGCCATTACTGGATGCCCAAGTGGATAAATGCCACTGACCCTTCCGCCCGCACACTGACCCACTACAAGTCAGCTGCCAAAGCTTAGGTGCTCTTCGTGCTGTAATTGTTGTTCTTGTTGTAAAGGTACTATGCAAATATTTCTTCTTGTTGTGTGAGTACTATAATTAGATGGGGGAGCAATGAAAGCCAACTCAGGCTAACTTGAAAAAAATAAAAGTCCTAAATCTTAAACACTGCTATAGTCATTTATTTCTATTCATTCTCTTCATTATTGTTATTTTTATTTTTTTTGTTTTTTGACTTTTATGTGTTTGTTTCTTTATGCCTTGTATCTGATCTTATGTCTGTCCGATCTTGTTTGCTTTTTCTGTCAGGGCTTCTTTTGTTTTCATCTTTATTTTGTTTTCTTGTGTTTTCTTTTCGGTCTTTTGCTTTTTTTCTGTTTTTTCTGTATGTCTTTTATTTTTTTTTTTTTTTCTGCTTTGTTTTTGGCTGCCTAGGTTTTTCTTGCTGTTTGTGTTTTCTGTGGGTGTTTCTGTTTGTTGTGTTTTTTTCTATGGTTGTTCCTTTTTTTTGTCTTTTTTGTTTCGGTTTAGTTTGTTTTGGTTACTTTTTCTAGTTTTTGGCTCGGGTTTTTTTTTTTTTTTTTTTTTTTTTCTTTTGCGTTCCTTATTAATTCTTTGGGTTTTTTAGACTTGTTTTGTCTTTTTTCTTGTTTGCCATTGTAGTTTCAGCGCATTTACTTATTCCTTCTGTCGAGGAGTGAGTATGGTTTTTTTTTGTTGGTCGTTGTTTTTTGACTGTGTTGGTGGGCCGGATTTTTTTGTTTGTTTCTTTTTTTTTGGTGTCTTTTCTTTAGGCTTTTCCTTGCTTTTTCTTCTTTTCTTTTAATGTTCTGATCTTACTTGGTTTAGCAAGTTTTGTTCCTTATTGTTTTTGGTTGTGTGTCTTTTACCTGTGTTCGGCGGGTTTTTTGCGGTTCCGGTGGGCGGTTGTCTTTGTGTTCTTTGTTGGATGGGCTTGACTCAGCTGCCTTTCTTTCTTTTGTCCTATTCCTCCAACTTTGGGTTGTTTTGGTTTGCCTTGTTTGTATTCCTGGCTCTTTGGTTGTTTTCGTTGTGATTCCCTCTTGTTTTTGGGAGTTGTTGTTTTTTTTGAGTTTATATTGTGCCATTTGGCTCTTGTATGTGTTTTAGGTCTCACTTTTTTTTCTGTGCATATCCAGTTACCTCCCACATCCTTTCTTCTAATATGTATTTTGTTTTCTGTTTATGGTTGTTTGTTTTTTTGGTTTTATTTTTTGTATTTCCTTTTTCTGGTGAATTTTTTTCTTTGTTTCTTTTGCTGCGGGCCCTTCTTTTGTTTTGATAGTTACCCTGATGTTTTATGTGGTCGTGTTTGGGTTGAGCTTTGGGTTTTTTTTCTGTCGGTTTTTTTTTATGTTTGTTGTTGTGTTTTTTTTTCAGTGTATCTCTATGTGCCTGTATTTCATTATTTTAGATTAGTTTGTTTTTTTTTTTTTAGTTTGTTTTGTTCTTTTTCCTTGGCTGTTTTTTATTTGTGTGATTTTTGGTCCCTGTCTTCTCTTTCTTTTTGGTTTTCTCTGTTGTTGTGCTTCGGGCTCTTGATTGGCTGGGCTTGTCGGCTGGTGTGCTTGTGCTTGGGGCTTTTTTTTTATGTTTCTTTGAGGTGGGGTTTCTCTGTGTTGATCCTGTTTGTCTTGAACTTTTGTCCTCGATTGATCTATTTAGCTTTTCCTTTCAACTTTGTGGGTGTTCTGTTTTTTGTCACTTTATCTCATGCTAGTTTTTTATTTTTAGTTTTTTTCTTGTGTTTTTTGGTGTTTAAATTGCTTCTATGTCGATTGTTTTGCTTGTATGCGTGTTTTTTTTTGGTTGCGCCTGCTAGGACTTGGTTGATTTAGATTATTATTATTTGGGGTCTTCCTTTCTTTGTCTTTTTGGCGTGTACCGTTGTTGGTTCCCGTATGGTCTTTTCTTCCTTCTTGTTTTTTTCCTGGGTGGGGGATTTGGTTCTGGATTTTTGACTTTAGTGACTCTGATCTGGTGTATTTAGTTGCCACCCAGAAGTTTGATAGTGAAGATACTTAGCTAAGCCAATTTCATAGCAGCAAACTATAGGTTAATTATAATGGCAGCAACTTTCTGGAATTCAAACTACACACAAGATTTACAGAAGTTTCTTGGCACCAAGAATAAAGCTAGCTTTTTCTCTTTTGCAATTTAAATTGTAGAAGGTTTGAAGAAATGGTGCCCTTGGGCTGCTGTACACATGACTTAATAGCTCACTTATTGGCCAAGCCTGTTTTCCTGGATTTTGGTAATTTAGTGCGAAGGAGGCCCTAATCTACACACCATCTCTAACAACAAATAGTCCAGTCGTTTTAAGCATACACTGAGAATATTAGCTGATATTGTTCTGCCATTTCAGTCTGATGTGAGCACCGTCATGAATGACCCACCCTTTAGAGGTTTATTTCACTTTCTCTTAAATTCTGCTAACAGGTACCATATAGTTTGACAGAATTATACACTTCTATTTTAAAAAATGAAAAGTAAAATCCGCCTAAAATCTATTTGTAAAGTTTTAACATTTTTTTTGAAGATCTCTTACTATAAAGGGACATGCCTAGGTAGATTTTGGTTAACATAAGGCCTGAAAGCTTCTAAAGTCCTTTATAAGGAAAACAAAAATGAACGAATCCTAAGCCTATGATAGCCCAGCATCCAAAGGATTATACTTTGTGGGAAATTTGCTTGTATTAGACTGTGGTATGAACATCTTGAGCACAGAGTCAGAGCGTGCTCCTGAATGCCTCCTGTTTTGGAATTGCCCTTAGTTTGGTCTAGAATCTCTGATAAAGGATCCTTGGAGTAGGTTCCTAGGAAGTGAAAGTCTGGCCACGAAGAAGCAGAGTGGAAGCTGAGCAGGGAGGCTGTTACATGTGGTTCTAGACTGTGCAGTGGAAAAATCAATACCAAGCATGTACTTAGCAGCTGTTCTAAGTAATTTTTATTGTTAGCTCATTCCAATCTTAGGAAATGTGGCAGATTTTATTTTCTGAAAGTGGCCATGGCAGTGTTCCTGGTCCCATGTCCTCTTCCAGAGCCTGGCTGCCTCTCTGAAGAAGCAGCCTATCTTCCCTCTCCTTGAGCGTGGGCAAGATTTTGCAATTGCCTTGTAGTAGAGTACAGTGGAAGCGATGCTGTGTGACTTCTGAAAGTAGGTCACAAAAGATGATGTGGCTTCTGCTCTCTCTTTTGATAAGGAAGCCCAGACCATGGGAGAGGCTGTATGTGAGTTTGGGCTGACTGCCCTTAGCAAAGGGCTCAGTCGACAGCCACCAACAACTGCCAGCTGTGTCAGGGAGTGAGCCTCCAGATCATTCCAGCTGCTGATCTTTCAGTCTTTTATGTGGAGCCCACGCATGGGAAGGAGAGACGAGCCATCCCTGCTGTGTGCTCTGTCCAAGTTCTTCATTCACAAATCTGTGAGCATAATAAAAGCTTGTTTGATACCACAAAGTTTTGTCGTTTCTTACACAGGTATACTGACTGGAACAGGTAAACACTGTTATCCCATTTTACACGTATTAAATACATTGCTCAGTCATTTTGCTAATTAGTAAGTGGTGGAACCTCAAATTAGCCAGGTAGGTTGACTGCAGGGCCTATGAGTTGTTCGTTTCTAAATATTGTCTTGCAATGTCAGCCTGAAACTATTGCCTGGGTCTCTGGTGTGAATCGGGAGACTAAGGGAAAGGGCTTCTATTGGGAACAAGAACAGGTAGTGCAGAGAATCTCCCAGGGATTGCAGTGAGGCTAATCATTTTTTGTAATGGCACAGGCTAGGTGATACTGAGAAAACAATCCCCAAATTTCAGTGCATTACCACAGGAAGGGTTTTTTGCTCAAACTGTATGTCCACCTTGGCCTATGGGAGGCTCTGCACATTGTTGAGGAGTTATAAGCACTCTGGAACCCAGGCTGATGGAGGCACAACCTTGACATAATTCCACCATCAGCAAGGCAGGGGATGGATGAAGTAGTGAATTATTTACTGAAACTTAAATCTTCCACTCTGAAGTGACACATCACTTTGGTTCACATTACATATGAGACGTGGCCACACCTAACTGCAAGGGAGCATGAAAGGATGAAAGGAAAATGAACAGCACTAGTAACTCGCCAGATATGCTCTTTGGGAACAAAATATTGAATTTGCTCTCCTATGCAAGAAATATATTCACCACCTTTTGAGGGTTACAGCTGGGGAATTCCATTGTGCAAAGACCCCAAGCCCAGAGTTTAGGAACTCTGGGTGATGTACTTATGTGGAAGTCTGTTTCAGGGCTGAAGATGGGCACTTAATGAACTAAGAAAAAAGTAATCTGCTCCCCATCCGTCCAATATATAATTGATCAGGAATAGAATAACTGCGGCAACAACAAAATACATTCAAAAAGGATAAAACAGAAGAAATACCAAACCCTACTCAGGAACAATTTTGATATCCTGCAGTCAGCCTCCAAGTCCAGCAGAAAATTGCTCTTCAGGGGTCAGCCAAGACATCATCAGTGTGTTGGTAGAAGAAAGCAGATTGAAAAAACTAGGGGAATCGGTATCTGAGCACAGGTGAGAAATGGAAGAGTTTGGAGGGGAAGGGCTGATTTCTAGCCATAAAGCCACTTTGGTTCATACCATTATAATTTTGGTTATACAGTGTTAACATTAATTGGTTACCCTTCTGAATGCCAAGGACTGCTCTAAAAGCTATAATCAATCTTCACAACAGCTTGTGAAGTTTGTTCCTTTGAGCTCATCCATATTTTGTGGATGAGAAAAGCAACATACAGAGGTGTTATGTTGCATGCCTGAGGTCACATAGCTAACACGTAATAGAAGTGGGATATTGGATCCCAGGCTTCAGGGTTTTAGAGACCTTATGCTTAACCCCTACTCTGTGTTACCTTTCAAAGGGATAGGCTATAGAATATAATTATGTACATGGAAAAAATATAATTCGATATTTTTTCTCAAATTCTTGTCTTGTTAATGGGAGTATATGGTCTATTTTATGGGTAGCTCATAAGTTATTTAGCACAATTAAAAATTTAAGCATAAGATTATTTTAATTTTTAAAATTTGTCATGTATATGTATGGATTATTGGTGCAATTT